GACTTAGCGTTTGAGGTGTGAGAGGCAAGAGAATGGCCTGTGCTGTGAAGAGGGCAAATTCCTGCAGCTCATAGGAGGAACTTGGAGTGAGGAAAGCTGGGGAGTGTGTGTGTTGTTGGGTGAACCTATAGAGTTGGAGAGGGATGGTGTGAAAAGAGAGAAGAAATGAAATTGTTCTTTTGGAGAGTGGAAAAGGAGTCCTCGAGATTAATAGGATCACTGGACATCACTGAAATGCCCATTTGAGTTGTGTTTCAGAATTGTGGGGGTGTGTATAGGAGGGGTGCCCCCAGCAGTAGAGCGAGGGAGGAGTACCATGGGAAGGAGGAGCTCCAACTAGTGGAGTATGAGATGTTATGGAGGCCACAGACCACTGGGCCAGCACAGATTAGGAAGAGGGGACCACAGAAGAGGGGAGTGGCTGTCATACGGGGATCCCAGGGCAAGCAAGGAGATTTGGAGAAAAGACTGGACAAAAATCAAAGGGGTGAAGAGAAGGTGTTTGAGGCAGAGGATGGGCATAGAGTTTGAGGGGTACAGATAGGGCAGCAGACAGGAAGACAAGGTGGTTCGTAGCCCAGGAGGAGAGCCCTGCTGGGTGGGAAGGTGGCGGCAGCGTCCTCCTGCCTCACACGGGTACCCTCACTCGGGGCGCTTCCCACCCTGTATCCCCACTGACGACCCGGAGGGAGAGCTGAGGAAGCTCTGCTCCCACCCTCCAGATACCAGGGTAAAACAGAGGTACCGGGGGGTCCTGAGCCTATGCAGGAGGAGGCTTTCTGGCCTGGCCCACCTCTACTCCACTTCGGTGCAGCCCAAAGGTGTCCTGCTGGGGGTGCCTTTTGGCCCTCTGCCACTCCCCGCTTCTCACACCAGCAGTCAGGGCAGCGAAGCACCCTCTGGGGCTTTGGTGGGTGGGTGAGGGGGCCTGGATGGAGCCCCGTCACGGACAAGCCTCAGGACTATGAACAAGTTGAAGAACCCAACGTAAAATGAGGAGACAATACCTCCCTGACATTGGATTAATTTCCTTACCACAAAAAAACCCTATAATTTTTTTTTTTTAATTTATGATAGGCACACAGTGAGAGAGAGAGAGGCAGAGACACAGGCAGAGGGAGAAGCAGGCTCCATGCACCGGGAGCCCGACGTGGGATTCGATCCCGGGTCTCCAGGATCGTGCCCTGGGCCAAAGGCAGGCGCTAAACTGCTGCGCCACCCAGGGATCCCCAAAAAAACCCTGTAATTTTGAAGGAGGAGGACAGCTTGGTTTCGTGTATGCTCATGCAGTGGTTGTCAAAGTGGGGTTCCCAGCCCGCAGCATCAGCGTTCCTTGGGAATTGGTTAGTTGTGCAAAATCTCAGGCCATGCCCTAGACGTAATGAATCAGAAACTCCTGGGGTGGGGCTCAGCATCTCTCCCAGCGAGCCCTGGAGGCGATTTGAGGGCGTGCTCAAATTTGACAGCCACCGTTTTAAGGGAATTTCCATCCCATCTCCAAGCACCTGATTCTCCTTAACCATTTTGCTGCTGGGGCCAGGGGCAGGGTGTGCAAGTGATCGCTTGAACTTGGAGTTAGTAAGGGGAAGGCCTAATGAGCAGACCTGGTGAGGAGCTTCCTCACTCTCACCGTGTAAGAGCCTAGAGACCAGCTCTGGAGAGCCCCTAAGCAGAGGTCAGGACCATGGGCGATCCTGCAAGAACATGACTCAGAGGACCCTGGCTTTACAGGGATGAGGTCATCGTGGCTGCTCTTCCTGCGTACCAGACAGCACAGGAACCACTGAAGAGTTGTAAGACAGTTTCAGAAAATACTAGGAGCACTTAGAGATTCGAGGAGTATACAAAAAACCCCACAAAACAAAACAAAACAAAAAAACAAATTTTCTGGAACTAAAGAAATGTTATTTCAACCAAAAATTTGGTGTATGCATCGAAAGAGAGAGGTCTGGTCGCTGCTGACGCTCAAATTAGTGGCTTGGAAGAACAAGTGGAAAAAATATTTCCAAGCACGGAGCAAATAATACAAAGAGATGGAAATAACGAGGAAAATATGAGACTTGGAGAAGAGATCCAGTAGTCCTAACATTCAAATATATTAGCTCCAAAAGAACAAAAAGGCATAGATGGAGGAGAGGCAATAATTTAAAAATAGAAAAATACTTCAGGGACTTGAAAGATCTGAGCTTGCAGACCGAAAGGACACAGGCAGACACAAAAAAGGAAAAAAGAAAGAAAGAAGGAAAGAAAAGAAAAAACAGACATCTAAGCAGGAAACTTCTGAATTCCAAGATTAAAGAAAAACATTTTCAAGTTTCTAGACAGAAAGAGCAAGTTCTGTAAATAAAATAAAGAGAAAGGAATCAAATTGACCCTGGACTCTTCACCTGCAGCAAGAGAAACTAAACGTGGGGACAGTGAGAGAGAAAAGGATCGGCTGCCCGGGGACCTCATCCCCTGCCGGAAAAGCTCTCACCTGTCAGAGCAAAAGAAAGATATTTGAGCTATAAAGAGTATATCAATCTTTTATCTCACCTGAGAAAAATACTCAAGCAAAAATTTGGTTAGAGAATAGAGAAGTCAAGATAGAGGAGGACAACGGGGAGAAAAAGCCTGCGCTGAGCAGGGCGCTTGGCCAAGTTTCCTGCCGTTAAGCGCTCACGAAGCTGGACAGACCCCTAGTGTACCTAGGACCCTAAGCACTGTGCTCTCTCAGCCAAACCTGGGGTGGGAAGCAGTCAAGGTCTCTCTTCTCTGGGTAGAAGTACCAGGAAAATAAAACATCTTTTTTTTAGATTTTATTTATTTATTCATGAGAGACGGCGTCGTCGTGCTAAGTGAAATAAATCAAGTAGAGAAAAGAGAAAGACAGATACTGGATGTTTTCACTTATATGTAAACTCTAAAAAAGCCAAATCATAGAAGTAGAGAGTAGATTGATGATTGCCAGGGGCCGAGGAGGAGGGAAATGGGAAGGTGTTGGTTGGGCAGCCCGGGTGGCCTAGCGGTTTAGCGCCGCCTTCAGCCCAGGGCATGATCCTGGGGTCCCAGGATCGAGTCCCACATCAGGGTCCCTGCATGGAGCCTGCTTCTCCCTCTGCCTGTGTCTCTGCCTCTCTCCCTCTCTCTGTGTGTCTCTCGTGAATAAATAAATAAAATATTAAAAAAATAAAAGGAAGATGTTGGTCAAAGGGCATAAACTCCCAGCTGTAAGAGGCGTGAGTTCCGGGAGCTAACGTACGGCGTGGTGACTCTACTTAATACTGGGTTATGTGTTTGAAAGTTGTTAAGAGAGAAGATCTCAAATGTTATCACTACACACGAGCACAAACACGCGCATGCCGGGAATGCTGTGAGAGGTTGGAGGTGTTAACTAACCTTTTTGTGGTAATCATTTTGCAATGTATACATATATCAGCTCCTCACATGGTATGCCTTAAACTTCATATTTTAATAATATCTTAAAAAAGATAAACCTTCTAGAGGGAAGTTTGGCAGTGTATATAAAATTGAAAGTAATACGGCCCAATGTTCCGGTAATTCTGCTTCTAGAAAATTCCTGTAGGAAAATGCACAAGGATGTGTATATATACAAGAGGGAGTTCATCACAGAATTCTTTTTCTTTTTTTAAGATTTTATTTATTTATTCATGAGTGACACAGAGAGAGGGAGAGAGGCAGAGACACAGGCAGAGGAAGAAGCAGGCTCCATGCAGGGAGCCTGATGTGGGACTTGATCCCAGGACTCCAGGATCACGCCCTGAGCTGAAGGCAGTGCTAAACCCCTGAGCGGGGATCCCTGGGTGGCGCAGCGGTTTAGCGCCTGCCTTTGGCCCAGGGCGCGATCCTGGAGACCCGGGATCGAATCCCATGTCGGGCTCTTGGTGCATGGAGCCTGCTTCTCTCTCTGCCTCTCTCTCTCTCTCTCTCTCTCTCTCTCTGTGACTATCATAAATAAATAAAAATAAAAAAAAATTATAAACCGCTGAGCGACCCAGGCTGCCCACAGAATTCTCTTTAAGAGCAAAATATTGGAAACAATTGACACATATGCAGTTAGTTAAATAAATTCTAGTATATACACGCCATGTAATACCATGTGGTAATTAAAAGTGATGAAGCAGATCTATAATATTGACGTGGAAAGATATCCATACATATTGTTAACATGTTAAAAAAAAAAAAAGGAGGCGCCTGGGTGGCTCAGTGGGATAAGCATCTGCCTTCAGTTCAGGTCATGATCCCAGGGTCATGGGATTGAGCCCTGGGTCCGGTTCCCTGCTCAGCGGGGAGCCTGCTTCTCCCTCTCCCTCTGCCTGCCAATCCCCTTCCTTGTGCTCTCTCTCTCTCTCTCTTTCTGTCAAATAAATAAATACAATCTTAAAAAAAAAAAAAAAGTACCCATGCTTCTCTTAGTGACCCTGGTTGGTTTGGTCTCTGTCCCTTGGGCTTAGGTCCCTGAAAGGTTCCTGATCTAAATGTCTTCCCAGCACCAGGTTGGGTGGGGGACCTGTGTAAGGAGGACAGAGACGATCCTCTCCTTACAGTGACCACAGTCTGGTTTCCGAAGTGGTGATGAACACGAATATTTTGACTTTCTGAACGCATACAGTCAGGAAACTCTTCATTTTAAGGTCCACTTTATGGCTGTGGAAACCGTGGCTCATGAAGTTAAAATAATTGCCTCGGGTCTGTGCAGGCAGTTTCTCTCCGGGGTCTGCAGAGGGAAAGGAGGCCTGCAGGGTGCCCTCTCCAAATGTGCCAGAGGTTGCTGGGAGCAGAAGGATTAGGGCTTGTGGAAATGTGAGCTGAAGAAGGAGTAGAGGTGGAAGGGAAGGTGAGGTTGGGTTTAGGGGAGGGGAGGGCATCCAAGACCCTCAGCCCCTCCACCTGCAAGTCTGGCTTTGCAGACACAACTCTTCAATCCATCTGTCGTGCCTGCCAAGAGCGGGCCTTCAACAAATAATGAATGAAGGATAAATGAATGAATGAATAAAAAGAGACACGGAGTTTATTACTGTATTGGAAGCCATATGAAGGGCAGGCCAAACCCTTCTCAGACCTTGGGGGCTCCGGCTTCTCTGGTCACCCTGCCTTCACCAAATCTGGAAGATCCTTCAAGTTTTCTCAAGTCTGGGCAGTCATGAGGTAGGAGGGGGGGGTCTGTGCCCAGCGGAGGGGGCTGGCGGCTCAAGAGCCACCACCATTCTGAGTCTGTGCTCAGCTGTCCTACAGGTCCACCGATGGCAGTTCCTGGAGTTCCCTGGTGGGGTCATGCGTGCCAGGCCCCGGTGGCTTGGAGCCAGGTCTGTGAGTGCAGGCAGAGGAGCCACGGTCCCGGGCTTTGCAGGCTGAGAGGAACGTGGTGGTGTCATCTGGGCAGTGAGGGTGCCCTGACCTCTAGGTATGGCAGGACCAAGATCGAGGTGTCACCAGCCCCCAGAAGGTTGTCTGTGGCAGAGAAGGGTGAACCGTGCATGAGTTCCCTCCTGTACCCACCCTACACATCTGAGATACTGGAGCACGTCACCCCCACACCAGCCCCTGGCCCCAGACCCCGGGGGTTGAACTGGGTAACAACAGAGGGCTGGCTGCTGGGGAGAGGGGTGTGTCCCTCCGGATGGGGAGCTGAGTGAGGGTCCTGGTCCCTTACCTGGGGCAGGGGGCAGTGTCGCCGAGCATACCATTCCTGGCAGTACAGGCTGACCTGGATGCCTTGGCCCAGGAAAAGCATGGTCCACATTAGCACATTCCACGCGGGGCCTGTGTGCCGGTCATGCATCATGAAGTTCATCAGCCCTGATGCAGGAGGAAGGGCTGTTACTCGGGTTCCAGACACCTGTCTCCCTGGCTGCCTCCCATCCCAGGGCGCTGGGGGGAGATGGGACAGGAAGGCACTACGGGGCAAGATCTTGAGCCCGGCTCCAGCAACACGCGGTGCTCTTAAGGGGCTCATGTAAAAGCAGGACCCCTCGGTTCATACGCCGGCATCCTGGGTCTCATGCGAACCCCGGCAGCCCCACGCCAGCTCTCCCCTTTGCCCCCCATGTGTGCCCGGCTCAGATGTTCCTCTGCAGCCAGAAATCTTCTCCTACATCCCGGCTGCCTCCCCCCTGTTCCCAAGCTCCGGGTCGCCCAAGGGTGGGTGTCTTCCCCGTGTGTCTGGAATCTCCCGGAGCAGGACTCCGGGGCTCCGCCCTCTGGCTGGAGAGGACAGAGGCCAGTGGCGCAGAGGCCAAGCTCACCTCCGATGACAAGGAAGAGTATCAGCATGACAGGGTAGAAGAATCCCAGGACAAAGCAGAAGATGTACTCGTGGACCACTGCAGAAACCAGGAACACAGCCAGCATGGCCGCCCCGCGGGCCCGGCCACCAAGGAGCTGGGGGTGGGGGTGGGGGGGTGAGTCTCCCCAAGACTCCCCCACAGAGCCCCCTCCCCAAGGAAGCCAGGAGAGTGTACAGCACAACGGAATAGAATATGGTATTTGAGGGGCCGAATTGGCTTATTTAGGAGCGCTGTATTAGCTCTTGGGCCTTTCGTGCAATTTTTAAAAGGGGATATAATAACACGTGCTTCTCAGGGGCACCGTGCAGATTGTGCACGTGGAAAGTCTTGGCAACTGAGAGTTACTATATGCAGGGTCCTTAGAAGGCTAAGGAGAAGAGGAATGTTCTGTGGAGGGGCGGAGTTAAGGGTCAGGAAGGAAGGAAGTTAGACCATAAGGAGGATTTTCTGCCCACTGGGTTGGGTAGAAGAGGGTAGAGGGAGTCAAGGGGGCCCCTAGGTCTGGAAAAGGTAGGTGGTGTAGACAGAAGGAGGGAGAATGTCCTGGAGAGGCTCCATTAACTGTGGGGGCCCAGGGGTCCTCAGAGCCCGTACCCACAGCCCGTCCTGATAGACGTAACTGTACAGCCAGTCATGGACCACCACGTTCCAGGTGCGATAGTAGTTGGAGAAGGACGTCGAGTTCCACCAGTCCTGGGGAAGAGGGAAGGAGGAGAGCATCAGGGTCCTGACTCTTCCAGGCCCCAGCCGCTCCTCCCTGCTTCTTGCACCCTACCCTGTCCCAGTGTTCCACAAGGGCTGGCCTCTGGCAGAAGAGAGACAGCAAGCACTCTCCAGCTGCCTCTTCAGGACCTGGGGCCCGCCCTCCCTCCTTCACCCCCTCTCAGGAGAAGAGGATTCCAAAGCACCGTGCACACAAAGGCAGTTAGCCTTAACTGGTCAGGGGGTGGAGGGCTGGCATTGGAGCCACACCTGGAGGAGCACATTTCTCATGTGGGAGGTTGACAGCACAGCTGGGGTGACACCCAGTGGAGCTACCATCCTCCCCAGATCACTCCCCAGCCCTCCCTGCACCCAGCTCCCATGCAGCCAGGTCCGGGCCTCACCCGATAGAACATTCTGTCTCCAAATCGTAGCATCTCTGCAAAGGCGTTGAGCCAGCAGTGGAGGAAGGCAAAGAAGATGAGCAGCAGCATGAAGATGCCTGGTGAGTGGGGACAAGGGTTGCAGGTCAGCCTGGCCCACCTGGATCCCCCGGGAAGCTCTGAGGGGCCCTCATCAGCAACCAGGGCCCCGACTCCTACCAACCATTTATTAGTCACTCATTGATTCATGCATATTACTCATGAATCCCATGGCGGATATGGGGGATGCAGAGATGAACCCCGAAGTCCCTGACCGTTGGGAGTTCACAGAGTGGTTGGAGAGAGAGAGGGAGAGACAGACAGAGGCAGCAGAGACATATGGAACGGTGCATCAAGGTCGGATGTGCTGGGAGCTAAGCATGGTAGCCGTGGGTGCACCTGGGAGGGCAGAGCAGGGGTAGGTCGATGTGATGGAAGGGTAACACTGACAGGATTCCTAGATGAGGAGGACTCAGTGTAGGCCTCCAAAAAGGGATCAGAAAACAAAACAAAACAACAAAAAACAAAAAGGGATCAGATTTCACAGCTGGAAAATGAGGAAAGGGCATTCCAAGCTGAGGGACCCAGCTGAGCAAAGGCCTGGAGGCGTGAAGGAGCAGGCGGCTCAAGAACAGCGGAGGGGCACTTGGGCTCAGTGGTTGAGCCTCTGCCTTAGGCTCAGGGGATGACCGCGGGTCCCGGGATCGAGTCCCGTACTGGGCTCCCTGCATGGAGCCTGCTTCTCCCTCTGCCTGTGTCTCGGCCTCTCTCCGGGATAAATAAATAAAATCTTAAAAAAAAAAAAAAAAAAGGAAGAGCAGAGCTTGTGGTAGGATGAGAAGACCAGCTGGGGGGCTTTGGATGCCAGGCCAAGGGTGGGGAATGATAACCTGTAGGAGGGTGGTTCCTGCGGGCGGCAGCGTCAGGGCAGGCGGGAAAGGAAGCGCTGGAGGGGTAAGGGAACAGGTGAGGACGCCCACGTGGAAAGCGAGAGTGCAGTGGCGTCCAACCTGAGGCCCTGGCAATGAGCAATGGGGGGGGGGGGGCACCCGTGGGAGAGGTTCCGAGGCGGGAGGTGCTGAACCTGACAGAAGGGAAAGAGTGAGGGGAGGGAGGCGGCCCGGCCAGGAACCCTTCCACCAGCTGCAGCCCTCCCGGCCCTGCCCTCCGGCGGCCGCGTACCTGGCAACGTGGCGTGCATGATAGAGAGCACCAGAGCCCGGGGGCTGAAGGGCTCCCGGCTCATGTTGGCAAAGACAGGAACGCAGAGGCGGCTCAGGATGAAACAGGCGTAGAGCACGCAGCCCAGGGCCTGGGGGTGCAGAGGGCGGGGGACACACACTTGGGAGGCGTCACGCAGCTGCCCCTCCGCTCTGGAATTGGGTTCGGGCCCAGCACCCACCTCCTCTTACCTTAGCACCACCCTCCGACCTCCTCCCTCCCCGGGCCTCCTCACCTCCCTCCCAGAAATGCCCCCTTGGCCACCACAAGTCCGTCCTTCTACCCCATCTTCTGACCTGAGCAAAGTTCTTGGCCACATAATTCCACCTGACGTTGGGTGTCCTGCAGCAACAAGGAGGATAAGATATTTCTCGTCCTTTTATTTTGTTCCCTGCCCGCTGGGGCACAGGTTCTAGAGCCCCCTCTCCGAAGCTCCCTCAATTGCTCAGGCCTTGGGAGGACTATCTGGGAGGTAAGGGTCTAGAACACTTTGGAACCTTCCATAATAGACACGGCAGACAGATTTTTAGCTCCAGTGTCAACTAAAGTGACTAACCATCAGGAGTTTGCTCCAGACCGACAGGATTCCCAGGGGGTAGGATTTTTCGACACTAAAGCTGGGACAGTCCTTGGCAAACCGGGACAGTTGGTCACTCTCGTGTCGCCATGGGTCGTGCAAAGGAGAAGGGGCAGTCTACCTGCCAGTTACTTCCCGTTTTAATTGTGGGATGCTTCCTGAGAAAGTGGCCAGTGTCTGGGGTGAGGCCAAAGACCTCAGAGAGAGGAAAATAGAAGGGCCGGGTCCCTGATGGGCCTGGGCATTTGGAAAAGAGGTGCAGGTCTTACCTGGGGTAAGTCTTCCTGTAGATCAGCGTGGGGCAGAAGAGGAAATAGAGGTAGCTGGAGAAACTGGGGGCCTGCATGCCCTCACCTGGGGAGGAGTGAGAGGGAGCCATCAGTGAGGGGGGAAGGAAGGGGGTGATGATGGAGGCTGGGGAAGGGCTGGGGCTGGTGGGTGGAGGGCTGGATAGGACAGGGGTTCAGGGGATGGGGATGGGTGAGCGGCTGGCATTGGATCTGGAGGCTTGCTAGGGAAGGGGAGACTAGGCAGGAGCTGAAGCTGCTCTTCGACACTCTTGCTTCCATTGCACCCTAACTTTCTGGTGCAGGACCTGCTGTGGTTGGAGCTTCATGTGGCACCACAAGTTCCACCACACGTTCTCTCTCTCCTGTTCTGACTTCCTGAGATAAGGCTCTCATACCCTGGGTCTTTCCAAGTTAGCCCTGGACATTGGAAAGTGCCAGAAGTCCCAGGCAACAGAGGCGCCACATCTCAGAGGCGGGACCTGAGAACGCCCAAAGACTGAGGCCCACAGAGCCCAGCTGGAGGCCAGGGATCTGCCCTGGGGGCAACAGGGCCTTAGGAAGCCAAAGCTTCTAGGAGAGTCTCCCAACCGCTGGTTCACTCCAACAGCCTAAAGGCCTGAGTTCACAGCAGGGCCACCCAAGGCCTCACCTACTCTGGCACAAAGGGTTCCGGGCACAGCCTCTCTCAGGAAGGAGTAGCTCTTCATCAGGAGCCTGACCTGAGACGGAACGGAAGGGAGGGTAAGCTGCTGCGGGGCTGTGATGACTTCAGGATCTCTGTGCCTCGCTTAGGGAAGGGAGGCGGGCAGATGGCAAGATCTATGCGGTCAAAGCCCGGACTTTATCTTTTTGTGGGACAGTCTCACAGCCTAACAGGTAGCTGCTGGGATGAGCCCAGGGCAAAGGCGCACCTGCGAGGCCAGGGCGGGGCCTTGGGCCAGCCAACCCCTGCGGCTCCGCGCAAAGCCAGCTGTTAATTTCCTTGCAGCCTGCGGAGCGCCCCAACCCCCAGAACCCCCCTTCCCCAGGGCGCCCAGCCACGCCCCGCCGGGTCACCTGCTCGAAGACCAGGATGCAGCGGGAGGCGGGTGGCAGCTGGTACTTCAGGGCCACGAGCACCGGGAGGGCGCAGAGCCCCACGGTGTGGGCCACCAGCAGCACGCAGCCTAGGATGGCCTGCAGCACCCAGGCCCCTCCGGCCCGCGGCCTCGCCCCCAGCCGCAGGACCTGGTAGGGCACCAGCAGGGTGGAGAGGAACATGGGCACCCACGTCATCAGCGCCAGGGGCAGCTGTCCGAAGCTGAAGATCAGGAGGTCAAACTCCAGCATCAGCCTTGGAATGGAGAGAGAGAAACGACGTAGACCAATGTGTGGCCCACCCCTGTCCCCTCCCTCTGCAGTCAGAGCTCTTGGAAGGTAAACCCAGGCATTTTGCTAAGGGTTCCAGCGCCCCATATCTGAAGGTGTTCAAGGTGCACCTCTGTTGTCCCACACTTGTAGCACAAGGTGTTGCCGGAAAGACTCAATCATGGGACGGGCTTGCTTATGAATGACCTTTAGAGCCTTCTGCATCTTACGGTGGCGCAGGAGGGCTCAGAGCTTCGTATGCCGCACGTATTATTAGAATATGAGGTATTTAGAATTTAGCCTCGATCTTCGTTAGTTGTGTTCTTTTGGAGTGTTTATAGCTGTAGACGGGAGTTAGTAGAAAGTAGGTTGTTGGGTGTTTTTATTTGCTCATGTTAAGACCATATGGTTTGTAATGGTGAAAAATTGGAAACCACCTAAATGTCCCTTAGGAAAAGACCAAAGCTGGCGTGCCAGACTGCAGTCATCAATAACAATGGGCTGACATGGAACAATCTCTAAGATAGGAAGGTAAATTGTTAAGGAGTGGGTATCTTATTTATGTAAAACCCCACAACATACCCCCTCTTGGTTCTTATATACATGTGGATGCCAACACATGGAAAATGCGCTGGAGGGAAACTCTCAAAACTGTTAAAAGGCTGTGGGAAGAAGAAGTCTAAGAATGAGTTTTAGCTGGGAAGATTGTTGGAGGCAATGTTGATGTGTGTCCAATAATCAAAGGATCAAAGAGCGGGGGGCCTGTGCTCATCTGGCCAATGGCAAGTGGGACACCGGAGACTTGGGGGTCTGATTTATGTGCCTATCCCAGGCGGGAGGCGTCCTACCTGCCCTCATCAATGAGGTCGATGGCCAGGGTGCTGATGATGAAGACGCACAGGCCGGCGATGAACATGTGGTAGATGGTGCGGAAATGCTGCACCTCCATCAGCTCACTGCAGGGACAGGGGCCCGAGTGTCGGTGTAGGAGGGTCCTCGAGGTCGTGCGGACCAGCTCCAGCACTGTACACGTGTGAGGTAGGGGACTAGCGATTGGGAACTTGTCGCTAAGGGCAGGGACATGGCTGAGCCTTTTCGTGCTGGGGCCTTTCTTCCACAATCACAGCCGGGGGAAGTGGGAAAACCGAACGTTAGAAAACCTCTCCAAGACCTGGGATCGAGTCCCACGTCGGGCTCCCTGCATGGAGCCTGCTTCTCCCTCTGCCTGTGTCTCTGCCTCTCTCTGTGTGTCTCTCATGAATAAATAAATAAAATCTTAAAAAAAAAAAAAAACCTCTCCAAGTCTTCCCTCCAAACACCTAGAACCTGAGGAGTAGGAATGAGGGGTTCTGGACCCCAGCCCAAGCTCTTTCTTTTCCTCCCACCCCCTGTCCTTGATGTGGACTTACTCGAGCAGGGACTTCCGGATGATGAAAATTTTCCGTTTCCCGGGGGATGGCTCCCGGCCCCTGAATGAAGACAGTTGTTCGGGTCAGGACCCTAAGGGTCAGGACTTGAGAGCCGAGGGCAGTAGCAGAGGAAGGCCAGAGTGAGGGCCCCCAGAGGGCAGGACCAAGTGGAAGGTCAGGGCCGGGGCAGAACAAGGCCAGAGGTGGAGGTCGGTGTCAGGCAGGCAGAAGCGATCAGGGCGGAGGAGAGAAGGTGGACGTGGGGGTCATGTCAGTGCTGGCAAAGGAGGTGCGAGGTGACATTACGGCTCACAAGCCTCATGAGAGAGGAGACTGCTCCAGCCATTCCCCAGGCCCCAGTCCCTCAGGCTCTTACTTGCTCAAGGAATCTGGAGGCGTGGAGGGCAGAGGTCCGCCTTGCGGCGGGTAGGACCGTACGGCCTCCCACATGGCCCGATCCAGCAGCTCCGTCAGCTGTCCCTGCGCATGTTCTAGCAACTGTGTCTTCACAACCTACAGGACAAAGCAGGGCAGGGCCCGCTGTCTCCCCAGCCAGCCAGCTCTCCTCTCCTTCACCGTACACTCACTGGGCTTCTCTGGGTGCGGGCGCGTCCTAAGTGCTGGGGACAGAATGGTGAACAAGCACAGCCCGTGCCCGGGCCCCCACCGCGCCCCGCAGTTTATTTCTCTCTGGCTTCCCAGGGCAGCAGGGGGGAACCCGGAAAGACCCTTCCAGCGCCAGGGTCTGGATGCCGACCACCTGGCATCCCTCACCCTGCTGTCCTCTCCCTGTCCTCGGCCTTCCCTCTCCTGCCCTTTGGTCCCACTAACAGAAGTCTGTTCACTGGCTGACTTTTGGCCCCTGCCCTGCTGACCTGTATTTCGAACCCCTCCATCTTAATCCTTGGTTCCAACCTGATCTGAGGGGTTTGAACCCAAGAACAAATCGTCTTTACCGCCCAGCCGGTCCTCGCCCCTACTCCCTCCCTCTGCTCCAAGACCTGTCCACCTTGACCTCTGACCTCCTCACCTCCATATGTCGCGTCCATTGCACCAAGTCCAGGCCTCTATCCTTCTCGGTGCTTCCTAGGAGGAGGGGTCAAAGGGCACACCCAAGGGGGAGGAGTCAGGCCTCTGCTGCCCGTACTGGACCCAGAAGCATCCTCTGTCCAGGAAATGTTTTCCGTGACCAAGCTCAGCAGCCTCCCCGCCCCCAACCAGTGGAGTATCTAGCATCGTGGGGGGCCATCAGAAGGGGAAGTTATACTCCTGCAGGGGATGAGGAAGCCACTGGGAGCCTGATGACACTAGCTGGGAAACAGGAAGCTACTCCGTTCACCCCCCCACCCCGCCGACAGGGGTGGGGGTTGGAGGTGGTGAAAGAGTCCACAAGATAAGGCAGGGCCCCAGCTCTGAGTATCTCTCCACTTCCCTCTCGTGGCTGGGCAGTGAGGGGCAGGGGCAGCGGCTGCCTTCCCGAGCCTCCCGAGACCGCAGGAGCACCCTCTCCACGGTGCGTCCCCACCTGCAGCACCCCCCAGCTCTCTGCACCCCCAGAGGGGGGTTCACCTTCTCCGGAGGGCCGGTCCTCTTGCTCTCCTCTCGGCCCTTCTCCCCTCCGCAGCCGGGTTGCCTTTGGCTCCATGATGTGTCCCCACTGGGCAGCAGACGGCTGTGAAGTGCTCCCTCCCCTCCTTCGCAGCCTGCCAAACTCTTATCTCACTCAGCTCATCAGCTCCAAAGACTAAAGTCCTTCCAGGGAGCACCAATAGGTTATCCGGTCTGGAGGGTGACGCTTCTCAGCTACAGGTTCCGCTCTGCTGGCTGCCCCGGGGATGGTCACTAACCCCCAACAGATCAACCCGCCACACAGGTGCCTAGCTGGGTGAGCTGCCCCTCCCACAGGGACAGCGGCTCTGCAGCTCTGCACCTGTCTGTGTCGTGGGGCGGGGGCCTGGGCTTCCCTGGGGCTTATCGCCTAGCTTGAGTTGCCTGCTGGATCTCCTTCCCCGCAGCCCGAAGGATCATCAGGTGCCCTCAGCTCCCTTAGACCACGAGATAAGATGTGTTCCATGCATGTGATTCATGTTCTGATGGGGTTGACACCTGTGACAAAGGTGATGCTACGGCCCCTCCAGGAAGTGCTGGGCGCCAGGGCCCCTACACCTGCTTGGGTTAGCACGTAGGCAGAAAGGAGGCCAAAGGAGCACTCAGTGCCTGGGGGACGCCAGGCATTGGCACAGATGGAAGAACAAGATTTCAATCCTCCCTCAGTCATTTACCGGCTGTGTAACTTCAGGCAAGTGACCCAAATATTTTAAGCCACAGTTTCCTCCTCGAACAAACAGGGGCAAAAGTCCCTACCTCACAAGCTTATTGTAAGCACAAAATGAGGTAATCCACGTAAAAACACACGGCCCAGGGTCTGGCCCCTGGGAGGGGCTTGATAAGTAAGAATTTCCTTCCCCTTTTAGGAGGATGTAGCAGAAAGGTAAGTGCTTTGAGAGTTCCTCTTGATTAGGTTCCTGCTGGGGATTAACTATTAATCCCTCCTCTCCCCTCTCCCGTTGTGTCCAAATATTAGTGTTAGAAACAAGGTCACAAACTCAGACAGAGGCCACGGCCTCCATGTCTCCCCTGCTCCCACTCCCTGGTAGGTGTTAGGTGAGGCTCCAGGGCTGGAAACCTCTGCCACTGTCTGTCTCCTGCATTCCAAGTGCCACAGGAGCGCCAGCAAGCAGTCCACAGGGAAGGAGAGCTGCACTGGGGGCTTGGGGGTGGGGGCAGAATGGGGGGGACAGAGGGGCCAGGGGCTCCACAGACGTGAGAGGTGGACTCAGAAACGTAGGCCAGAGACCCCCAACACAGCTTTATTAACACCCCAAGCCCACACCAACAATCTTTCCATGTGCAGGGTCCTGGGGGGTCGGGGGGTAGTGGGGGGGGCCTGAAGGTGGAGTGTGGGCTCAGGGCTCCGAGTTACTCATCACTCAACAAACGACCCAAGAGGACAGCCCCATGCTCCTTCCACTGGCCGGGCAGTGCCCCTAGCCCTGCCCCCAGGCTTAGCCACTGCTCCCAGGGGGGCAGGAGGAGCTTCCATCACCATCTGGGGACCCCGACAGCGGCTGGCCCATCCGATCCACACACCAGCAGGGACCTCGGCGCTGCCCCTGGGAGGAGCGGCACTGGGGAGAGAGGCACAGGGATCAGAGGAGCAGCAGCGCTGAGGCTCCAGCAGGAGGGACACGAGGGCCCATGGGTGGGGGTGGGCTGTGTTCCCCCCCTCCCCCGTCAGAATATGCAGAAACATCTGAGAACTCTTAGGACAGGGAGGCTCTCTGGGCTCCCTTCTCTTACTCCCCTCTTCTCTACCCACTAAACTGGGCCTATTCTTCTAGACCAGAACCCTAGTTCTCAAAATACTAGGGGCTGTGTTAGAAATGCAAATCCTCAGACTGCGGTAGGCTCAGCCACCCGCCTGTTCTCAGCCCCTAGGTGACTCTGAGCCGCCTCATAAATGTGAACCTCCGAGTTAGGCATTCCTGAGTTGGGCGGTCTGGCTTCTCTTCTACGTTTGTGTGGGCCCTAAAGCTGGGAGATCTTGAAGGCAGGGGCAGTGTCTTCCTTATGCCCCTTTATAAGCTCCCCTGGCCCCATCCCTGGCAGGAGCCTCCTGCTGGACCAGGTGGAAGAGAGGAGAGGAGGGGCCTCACCTGCCGCTTCCGGTAGAAGCCCTTATGGTCACAATTAGGCACGTAGAGGGTGTGAACCCCTCGATACACCTCGGTCTGTAGCTGCTGTAGCACTGAGTCCAGATGTCTGCGGCACGGGCCCTGGGAAAAGGGACAGCAGGCAACTCTGAACCATTGCAGCCTCCAGGACATGGCCCCCAGCTCCCCCATAGCCAGGCTCCAGGACCCACGTGGGAAACCTCTCCAAGCTCAAGGCGACAGTCTCAGATGGGAATGTCCGGGGCTCCCCCCCTCCTGCTCTCTGCCAGCCGCACACGCACCATTTCAGCATCTTGGACACCACCAGGATTGGGCCGGCCGGAAGTAGTAGTAGAGGCCCCTGGATTCCTCTGTTGGTCTCTGCGGTTCACATCCTGTGGACGAGTGGTCCCTGCTTGGGGTTTGCTCTCCTTAGGATTCTCCCCTACAGCCACAAGAGGAACGAGGAAGGGAGAGTCCGAGAATCAGATGTCAAAGACCAGAACCAAATGGAAGAGAGCCTTGCTCACCCGGACTCCCTGCACTGGGAGGAAGAGAAGGTCTTTCCAAGTAGTAGAAATGAGGGTGGTTAGAACCTGCCTCCACCTTTACCTTCTTCTGGCCTCGGTTTCTCTCTCTGACAAAGGGTTATATGACCTTTCCTGACAATACCCCCAGCCCAGACTAGTCTTAGGTCTTATAAGGGAGAAGCACTTTGGAAAGCAGACACGGAGGACAAATACAAATATATTGGGAGGCCTTGGGCTTGGGGGGGGGGGGGGGAGACCTGAATGTTCCTCGAGAAGCCAGCAGGGGGTGCACCAAGCCAGAGGGATGAGGCAGGAGAGCCAGGCATGTGGGAGGGGGTTAGCAGGGACCCGAGTGGAATGTGTGTCCCCTGTGTGACCCTGCTGTGACTCAGCCCACCCTTCCCAGGCTTCAGACATGATTACTTTTGGGGCACCGCAGCGGGGTCCTCTCCCTTCTCTGGTCCCCCATGGCTCAGCCCAGCTCAACCCCAGTGGTCCCAGGAGCAGGGACAGGCGGAGGGCAGGTTGCAAAGATGCAGGGAATGAGGGGCTTCTAACCTGTGGGCTGCTCCTGGCTTTGGAGAAAGTGTCACACATGGTGTCTGGGCGGCTTGGGGAAAGCTCAGGATGGAAGGGGGTGAGGAAATAAATCAGGACGCCAGGGTGAGGAAAAGGCAGGGAGGGAAGTATGCACTGCTTGGAATTTGGCCCAGCTGTACAATTAGATATTGTGGCCTCTAAAGGCATCATCTCTCCTCTTCCGTGTCCAAAGACGAGCTCTGCTCAAGGTCCCGATCCCAAAACCCAGACAGTTGCTCCCACTTGCCTACTCCCCGCCACCCCAGAGCCATTCCCTCTGCAGCCCTGCCTCCCTGGGCATCCTTCTTCCTCCGCCCTTCTCAGACCATGCTCCTCATTCCCTCCACTTAGCACCCTACCTCCCCCATGCTCCCACTGCCTCCTCTGACCCACCCAGGCAACCCCTAGCAGCCTGGACCCAGGCATTCAGGACTGAAAGAAACTTCACATTACCATCTCCTCCCTTGCCTCGGAAGGAACCAGGAGCTCGGGTGCCCCGGGGTGGGGGGGCTGCTTTCATTTCCTGTCCTCCCTCTGTCCCGTGCTGCCCCCCATCTTTTGGATTCTGACTCACTTCTGTCCCTCCCACCCAATGACTCAGGCTTCTATTTTCCTCCCTGGGGTAGGGTGGGGTAGGGTGGGTGGAGGGTTCTGAGCAGCTTGTAACCCTGATTTGGCAGATTCCTTCTTTCCCCACCTCTGTCCCCTTCTCGGGAGGCCCCCAGAGCCTGCCCTCTGACCCTAGTCTAGTCTGAAACAATTCTGGGTTTGGGGCATCTTCTGTTCTAGACTTCACGTTCAGGTGCTTTGGACACCCTGATATTAAGGGGAGAAGGGGGGATACTTCTCAGTGCGCGCGGGATTTGGGAGTCTGGGTTCCCTTCCCTCTTTCTCCAAACGGAAGCTGGGAACACCGTCTGGATCCTTTCTCCAGCTCGGGGTGGGGGTGGGGTGATGGGGTCGAGGGAAGGAGCTGAGATGCTGTGGCCTAGGACCTGACCCGAAACCCCTCCCTCCCCACCTTTCCCTTCCAGGGAAAATAAACAGAGGTGGGGGGAAAGAGATGGAGAGCTCAGACATTTCCCTGCTTTACCCTCAGGGCCTCCGGCCGCGCCCCAGGCTTCTAGCTGCTTCCCGCCCTGGCCCGTTCGCCCCCTAAAACCTGCCCCCTCCCCAGGGTGAGGATGACGGAGCATCGGGGCAGAACCCAGGGGCTCGCGGAGTCGCCCGCACCCCGCTCCGCAGCTCCCCGCGCGAGGGGGCGGGACTCCGGGTTGGGGGCGGGGCTACGGGCGGAGCCGGGCGGGGCGGGGCTCAGGGGCGAGGCTCCGGGCGGAGCCGGGTTCTGGGGCGGAGGCGGGGCGAGGGGCGGGGCTCCGGGCGGAGCCGGACGGGGGCGGGGCTCAGGGGCGAGGGCGGGGCTAGGGGCGGGGCTCCGGACGGAGCCGGGCGAGGGGCGGGGCTCCGGGTTGGGGGCGGGGTTCCGGGCGGAGCCGGGCTCTGGGGCGGGGGCGGGGCTAGGGTCGAGGCTCCGGGCGGAGCCGGGCTCGGGGGCGGGGCGAGGGACGGGGCTCCTGGGCGGGGGCGGGGCTCCGGCTTGGGGGCGGGGCTCAGGGATGAGGGCGGGGCTAGGGACGAGGCTCCGGGCGGAGCCGGGCTCGGGGGCGGGGAGATGGGCGGGGCTCCTGGGCGGGGCGGGGCTCCGGGTTGGGGGCGGGGCTCCGGGATGAGGGCGGGGCTAGGGACGAGGCTCCGGGCGGAGCCGGGCGGGGGGCGGGGCGGGACTCACCCGGGGGCCAGCGCGCCCGGCGGCAGCGGCCGCGGCCCAGCAGCAGCGCCCGCAGGGGCGCCTCGTCTTCCTCGGGCGGCTGGCACTGCAGTCCCGGGACGCAGTTGGGGGTGTAGACCCCGCACAGCTGCCCCTCCCTCCTGAGACAGCCCCCCGCTTCGGCGCAGCCCTCCGCCGGCGGCGCCCCGTCCTCCTCCTGCACGCAGGCCCCGGGACAGCCCGGCTGCGCCCCCTGCCCGCAGCCTGGGCACCGCGCCAGGGCGTCTCCCGAGCGGGCAGCGAGCAGCAGGCCCAGCAGCAGCAGGGGCGGCAGCAGCCTGCGGGGGGTCATGGTCAGGGTGTCGGCCCCGTCCGCTCCTCGCAGGGCAGTCGTGCAGCAGCTGCCGCCCGCCGCCGCCCCTCTGCCTTAAGT